ATTGCCTGCAATGCTTATGAAGCACTCTGCTGTATTCATTTTTCAAAATGTTTCCATTCTTTCAGCTTTATTTTATAAATTGCTCCAAGTATTGCTATCTATTTCACATGACTGTCACTTTTAAAGATGAGCTGGCATTTCATTGTGCTAATTGCTCAATAGGCTGGAACAAGCTTGGCAGGATTCCTTAGTAGAAATGTTAGAAAAATCTGAAGCCTCTCACTTAAAAAGAATTTGTAAATTTTTACTCCAAATAATAAATGCACATAGTTTAAAATTCAAATGATCTAATCTTATAACAAAAAGCTCTCATTTCCTCCTGGTCATTTACTCTACCTTTTTTAAAAACCTATTTTAGCTAATATTTCTCCAGCCACACATTAGCATATTTTATTTCTAAATGATCTGAATACACCAATAGTAAATTTTGGATTCATTGGTATCAGACTGTATCCATTGATTTTCTGTTGTTGAAGTGAAGATAGCTTTTCAAAGTTAATCACATCAAGGTAGCTATTCATTTCCTTCTTCACAGCATCTTTTTAGAAAGCGCCATCCTTCCTATCTAGACTAGTTGTGCTCCAGGCAGTCTATGTAATCGTCATCCTGGGTCAGTTCTTTCCTGTCATCCTCAAATTCCTCTTTCAGTGTTCTCCCAAGAAACAGAAACTATATGTGTGTCAGAGGCTTGTAAATGCTGAGAGAGACAGAGACAGAGAGAGAGAGACAGAGAGAGAGAGAGAGAGAGAGAGAGAGAGAGAGAGAGAGAGAGAGAGAGAGAGAGGGCAAACAGAGACAAAGACAGAGACAGAGATGAAGAGACAGAGAGACAACAGACAGACAGACATCTAGAAAGGCCAACAGAGAGGACTTAAAGAATTGCCTCCTACAGTTCTGGAACCCGACCAGTCCAAATCAGCAAGCTGAACACCCAGGGAAGAATTGACATCACAGTCCTGAATGCCAAGGCAGCTTGGAGCCAGGAAGAAATTCTACTTATTTGAGAGACCCCAGTGTCTTCTCTTAAGGCCTTAAACTGACTAAACGAGACCCACCCACATACGAAGGGTAATCTGCTATATTCAAACTCTACTGATTTACATATGTTATATCCATGTGACCTGATTTTTCCCTCTAGAATCTTATAAAATCTCTCTTTCCCATGTGTTCCAGATTTTAATAATAGTCTCAGGATAGGTCTATTTTTCAGCTCTTGATGTTAGTATCTTTAGGATTTTCCTGTTAGGTTCATAAATTCCCAATAGAAATTCCAGTCTCCTGCCTAGAAGGTAAAGTTGGGATGAGTTGGGATGGTGTGTGTTCTTAGCTCTGCTGGGTTGTACACCAAAGTAAACAGGATCTCCCTCTGGGCTGACACTGACTGATAGATGCAATGGGCTCATTTAACGCAGGGCTCTGGATTAGTCAGAATGTGGTTGGGGCCTATGCTGAATGAGGTTTTTGTTTTTAAAGAGAAAACAGAAACAAAAACACTAAGTCAAAAACAAAACCACAAAAAACAATAAAAATGATATAGAATTTCAAAACAAGGTGATAGAAAATTAATAATAGTGTTATATTACATATTGTTATCTTCAAAGTAGTTGCTCATATCACCAGACATAGGCATGGAAGATTGATAAAATAATTAACAACAAATCAACTTTCAGACAGCCTATAGAAACTAGTGTTGAATGAGTTTTTATCTCTGCATTTGGGGTGGTTGTTAACAGGGTTTTGAGCTGGGGTATTGGATTGCTTTTAACTGAATCAAGGAATATATTGAATATACTGAATTTATTTTTAAACCAAATTTGGCTGAGCTTCTGTTGGGTTTTTAATGAGACAACAGAGACAAGAAAGCTTTGACTGTTTCTGTGCTGAAGCTGTAGAGGGTCAGTTTATGAGACGCTATCGGGGCATCTTACTCAGATCATGGTTCTACCTCTAGGTTTAACTTTATCACCATTGCCTTTGCTTTCCTGTCATCTAAAGTCCTTCCTCAGCTGTTTCAGATTCTTTAGCAACTTTGTTATCCCAGACAATAAATTTACAGATGTTGGTCCGGGGAACCAGTGAAACCTCCAAGAATCTGCAAACTTGACTGACACAAATTTAATGGGCATTATCTTATCTGTCCATATTGTAGCAAATATTTCTAAGGGAAAAAAAATCCCAATTTTTCTTGGATAGTCTGTGTAATCTGGATCCTTGTCAAGCATCATAAAATTTAGCTGTCCCAGTGAGGTTCTTGGAAGGTTACACAGCACTGTCACCAGAACACAGCTTTATGTTTGACAGCTTGATGGAAAGGGCTGGGTCACAGTGTCAGAAGTGGGGGGGCAAGGCAGAGTGACTCACTAAGAGGTTGATAGATGGGTCCTATTTAGTAACTATTGCTTCAAAGAAGGGAACCTAGCACATTCAGGCACAGGGATTTGAGCACAGAGCTAAAGCTTTGGGATGACCAGCTTTTTGGAAGACAAGGAAATTGAAGTTCTTGACATCCTTAAATATTTAAGGATGTTTCTTGCGTGAAATAGATCATTCAAACATTAACAAGTTACCCTCTTGCTGATGTTGTCTGACGCCCCTCACATTCCTGCACTGGAATTCTTCTAGGTGGCACAGAGAAACTTGTAACAAGTCAGTGCGATTTCCTGGTGGCTTGTCCTCCTGACTTCCTCAGTGTGTGGCACTGTTGGCTACTTCCTCCTCTAAGGAATTCTTCCCTGGGCCGGGGATGTAGCTCAGTGGCACAGCACCTGCCTAGCAAGTGCAAGGTCCTGAATTTGATTCCTAGTACAAAAAAAGAAAGAAAGAAAGAAAGAAAGAAAGAAAGAAAGAAAGAAAGAAAGAAAGAAAGAAAGAAAGAAACTCTTCCCTGTCTTAGCTTCAATATGCGCTGTTAATTTTCTCCTGAACATCTTCAATTCCAGAAATGTCAATTCATATTCTGGACACACCATGTACCTTGTTTTTCCATTGACTTGAGTTTAAGAGGCAGAGGAGTCCCTTCCAAATCCCATGTATCTCTTTGGAGCTTTAAAAGGCTAATAAATCTCTTCCAGAACATTGTGCTCCTCAGCAGGGGTTAGCAATCAAGACACTCCAAGTCCTATCAGAACAATGAGCATTTCCTCAAGAAGCTGGTAGCATTTGAACAGGAAGATTTGGACAAGTTGTAGTATTCAAACCTCCCCTTAATTATTTTTTCTTGAAAGCCACATTCCCAAAGTGTGGGTTCCAATAAGTATTACCTAAAAAGAAGACCTGCAGTCAAGAAAATGAGGGGGATAGTCAGACAATTTTTTCCTAAAGAAATTCCCAAGGGTTTACATGATAATAAACATTTATTAGTTATCTATTATGGCATAATCAATTGCCCCCAAAATTAGAGGCTGAAAGTACAAATAAATATTATTTCACCATTTCAGTGAGTTGGGAATAGGGGAAGAGTTAACAGAGTGGTCCTGACTTGGAGTCTCATGAGGTTGCAGTTGAGATGCGAGGCAGGGCTGCAGTCACCTGAAGGCTTGCCAGGGCTTGGGGATCTGCTTCCAAGGCTGGCCACTCCCCCGGCTGGCAATTGATGCTGGCTGTCTGCAGGGAATCTCAGTCTCCTGCCACATGGACTCCTCCGTAGGGCTGCTTGAGTGTTTTATGATAAGGCAGTCAGCTCTTCTGGAATGAGTGATCCAAGAGAGCAAGAGGGGAAATCAGTGTCTCTATGACCAAAGCTCAGAGGTCACACACCCTCAGTTCTGCAATATTTCATCGAATACTCTACTATACGTCCCTCCCTCAGTGTGAGTGGGCTTGTATATACTGCAGGGGAGCGGCACAGAGGATCATTTTAGAGGCAGGATAGTGCAATGGATTGAAGTAACATTAAAGGAACATTCCAGGACACTAGGATTGTATGGCTTACTCACTGTGGAAAACTACTATGGGTGTAAGGGTCTGAGAGGGTAGAGAGGCTTAGAGGCTTATAAGGGTCTTATAGGTTTAGAGGAAAGCTGCTGTGGGATAAAGGTCAGAGGGGCTCACCTGTGAAGGGGAGGTTGTGAGTCTGTCTGGAGGAAGAATCCTGAAAGCTGCCATGTGCGTGTCTGTAGGAGGACTCCCAGAGTGGAAGACATAGAAGCAGGATTTGGGGTCTCAGAGGCCACTCGGAAGAAGACCTTCCAGAAACCCTAGCACAGGACATCCCTGCCAGGCTCAAAAGCTTAGACGAAAGCTGTTCTACTTCCCCTACCCTGCACCAAACATGCAGAGAAAAAGTCAAAGTTCACAGGCTGAAAGGAAGAACTGTTGTCACAGAATCCCTAAAATGTGGAGACAGACAAGTTGGAGGGCTCAGCTCTTCCGAGCTGGAAGCAACCGGAGTGCCATCCTCTGTGGTATTGTGCGTGTCCTTTTCAGGGTTCTTTTCAACAGGACCCAGCCACGCTCATTGCCATCTGTGCCAAGACTACATAAGGCCACTTGGGTGATTCAGATCGCAATGGCCTTGTTTCTCCCTACTTAACTTGCCCAGTGGCTTGTGTTTGCAGAGGTCCCGGCCTCGAGTCAGAATCACAGTGCTCGGAGGAAATGAGTTTTCACTAAATGTTTACAGTGACCACATCCACAGATACAGAAAAGGGAGCGGAAGTACACAAAGGATAGAAAAGATGGAGGCGCGGTGAGGCAAAAAGAGGAGGTACGTGATTAAAGGGGAAAGAATTTTTTAAAAATGTGCAGCTTACCTGCAAATGTTAAGGAAAAAGAACTTTATGCCCTCAGTGTAGGAGTCCCCCACTTCGCACTCAGTTTGAAAGGCCCAGCCACCCTCCCGGGCACCCCAAGCGAGCTTTCGCCATCTTTTACCACAAGGTGGCACTCTTTGGACTTTCTTCCCCCAAAAAATAGGAAAGGGGGAAGAGGGGAGGGAGAAAAGGCAAAGCACTGCCCCAACCCAGAACAATTTGAAAACCCACCCCATAATACTTCAAATCTGGGACAAAGAACCGTCAGGACGGAACTGCTTCGATTGCAAAACCTCGGCGCAGCCCGGGGAGCGTGCCGGCGGCCCGAACCCAAAGAAGCCCCTTCCACGAGGAGGAGTACAGTGCTGGGATTCCTGAAACCCGAGACCTAGAAACAGAACCGAAGCGGAAACCAGCGGGAAAACCTTGAACCGCTCCAGACAATTGCTTCCGGGGAGTTTCGAGGGAGCGAGGGGGAGTCGGGCCGGCCGCAGCGCCCCGCGGATGGCGCGCTCCTGAGGGTCGCGGCGAGGCGCGGAGCGTGGGGAGCGGAGGCCCGGGCTGTCCCTGCGCTGCAGGCCATGGCCACCGCGGAGCGGAGAGCCCTCGGCGCGGGCTTCAAGTGGCTGTCTTTGGCAACGCTTGTGCTCATCTGCGCCGGGCAAGGGGGACGCAGGGAGGATGGGGGTCCAGCCTGCTACGGGGGATTTGACCTGTACTTCATTTTGGACAAGTAAGTGCCGGGAGTCGCTGCCGCTGGCGATGCCGCTTTCCCCGGGCAGGGCTGGTCAGCAGGGTCGCGCTGGGACAGGCACGCCTCGGGAGGGACCTGGAGGGGCCGCGGGAGGTGGCGGCGCCCAGCGTCGCGCCTTTGTTGGGGAGCGCTCCTCCCATCCTCTCCGGCGCTGACCCAGCCCTCCCCGGAGGCCACGCTGCTTGTTTGTCGCCTCTTCTGTCTAACTCAGTGTGACCTCGGAGCAAACGAGGGACTTAACTCGAGGATGCTATTGGCTTAAGTCTTGTTTCTGTGACTCCTTCCCAGTGTGGTGATAAAGGTTTGCTTAGCAGAGGCAGACCTTGCAGCACTTCTTAGTGTAGTTGGAAGTAAGCGCGGGCATTTCAAAGCCAATCGTCTCTTTTAAAAAAACAAAATGCATTCCTTTTGTTCCTGATGTAATGCATCTTCTTTCTAAGCGGTGAGGGAAAACGCCAGGCAGGGTTTCTAGCCTCGGCGCTGCTGAGATTTAAGCTTGGTGATTCTTTGCTGTGGGGCTGTCCTGGGAGGTGGGAATGTTTAGCAGCATCCCTGGTCTCTTCCCACTAGATGCCAGGCACACTCTCCCCTTTACAAGCTATTAATGACAACCAAAAACGTCTCCTCCAGACTTTGCCAGATACAGTAATCCCAGAGAATAAATTCTCCCTTTCTTTGGGTTTAGAAACCAGAAGTAGGCAAATTCAAGCTTTTGACTAATGGGCTACCCGGGAGATGCAGGAGAGCTGGTTTCCTTGCTAAAATGGATAGCAGTTAGGCTCCAGGACTTTGTTGGAGGAAGAGCTGAAGTCTGACCAATTAAACACTTCCCAGATCCCCAAAGGTTTGCCAAGCCGCAGGCACCCAGAAGCTTCATGCTATCTGCTGAAAACCAGCTTTAACAATAAAAAGCCCCTCTGAGAAGATCCCTGCTCTTTAAAACTGTTAGCACGCAGTGCCAGGAGAGGCGCTTGCACTTACAGTGGTAAGGAGATGAATTTCACAGAGTGGAAAGTTTTGGGGAGTTGGAAACAGAGTCCTGCAAAATAAGCTGGCCAGCTAGACACCAGATGTGCTTTGCAGTTGCCCCTGGAGTTTGGTTTTTCCGTAAAGACTGTTTTGAATCCAGATTCTTTGGATGAAAAGTGGGATCTCTTCCTTGCAGATTTATGAGAAGGTGGATACTGAAAATGCAATCCAATGCTAAGAAATGGAATTTCTTTTGTTACTTCTAGTGGCTGAGAGTACTAGCCACACACTCGGAGGCAGTGTCTGAAAACACTCAGATGTCCATCATTTGTGCTCTTTCAAATACTGGCTCAGAGAGACCTAGGAGGGACTTTAAATGGACAGAATCATCCGTTCCCTGAGTGGGATGAATCCATACTGCAAGGATAATCCATTCCTCCCAAATTAATTTGTGAACTGAATTAAAATTTTCAGTTCAGTCCAAGTTCTGAAATTTATCTGGGTGGTGGGAAGAATTTAATGACTCTAAGCTTTTCTTGGTAGGGGGGGAGTAAAAGAGAACTACAATATTTTTGGAAAAGAATAATGAAGAAACATTTTCTCTCCAATATTAAAATGTGTTAGAAGGCAAACTAATGAAAATTGGATGGTAAAGCCCAAGGATTAGGTGGATAGAGTAGAAAAATCTAGATATAGATCCAAGAACAAGTCAGCATCCAGTGGAATTTCAAATCAGTATGGAATGAACTCATTGTTTTCAAAAGTGGTTTTTGGACACATGGTTTATAAAATGGGGAAAGAAAAAGGTTTGATTTGTACTTTACATCACAAACCAAAATAAATCCCAGAAGGATTGGAACTTTAGAATTTTAAGTGAAACTATGAAAGAACTGGAAGATAGTTTAGATGAGCACTACTTTAATCTTAGAAGAGAATTTAGATGACTAGTAAAGTAGTCTTAGCTTTAGAGCTTTTAAAGCATGACAACAATGCAGGAACTATAAAGGAAATTATAGAGATTTGCATAAACTAAAATTTTATGTTCTGTAAGTGAAAAAACCTCAAATAAAATATAGTAAATCACTCTCTGAAGACCAATCTTAATATGTAAAAAGGAGGAGGCTGTGGGGGGGGTGGCTCAGCGGTAGAGTGCTTGCCTAGCATGCATGAGGCCCTGGGTTCGATCTCCAGCACTGCCTCTTCATATTAATGAATTTTTAATATGTACATAGTGATTTAAAACATAGCCTATCTGGCCAAACATGGTGGCACACACCTGTAATCCCAGCACTCAGGAGGCTGAGGCAAGAGGATCATTGCAGGTTCGAGGCCAGCCTGGGCTCCAAAGTGAACTCAAGGCCAGCCTGAACTGCATAGCAAGACCCTGTCTCAAAAAAAAAAACAAACAAAAAAAGCCTACCTGCATATTCACAAAGGAAACAATGTAAAGTCCATAAATGAACAAAAAAGTTCAACTTCACTAGTAATCAAAGAAATGAAAAAAAATCAAACAAGATATAGTCAAGATATAGTTTTTTTAGGTTGGCAAAGGCTTTTAAAGAATTAGGGTATTGAGGATTGACCAAAATGTGGGCACTGTAACATGTTAATAGGGAAACTATAAATGGTGCATTATTTCTAGACTTGTGCTGTCCAGTAGAATTTTCTAGGATGGTGGAACTGTTCTATATCTGTGTTGTTCAGTATAGTAGCTGCTAGACAGAAGTAACTATCAAGCACTTGGAATGTGGCTAGTGCAACTGAAGAAGTGAGTTTTAAAATTTTTCTTAATTTAAATTTAAATAGCCACATGTGCATACCATGGGAAATAACTTAGACAAGAAGATAATTTGGCAACATGTGTCAAATGGTTTTTAAAAAACCACGACTCTATTTTTCATCCTTCGGTTTCACATTCTAAAGAAGAAAATCCAAATGGGCACAAGAAGTACCTAAGTGTATTTTCATGGTAGTGCTGCTTATGGTAAAAAAAGTTACAATTACTGAAATGTTAAACAACAGAAGATTTAAGTAAGGCATGATATATGCAGAGTATTGACTATACATCGTGTACTATGCATGCTGGTTAGATATTTTAAGAAAAGCAGAGTTCTTAAAACATACTCTCAGATGAAATTATAATAACCAACACCATGTGCATTATGAACCTACCTTTCTAAAAAAGTTAAATACTACCTGTGTATATCCATATTTATCTGATATGATAAAGGTATTTTTCTCTAGAAAACAGGAGTTTTAATTTCTCTTTTTTATACTTTTCTGAAATTTCAAAATCTTTCATAAAAACATTAATTTTATATTCAATAAAATAAGTTATTCTGAGTTTTTAAAAACTCGGGAGTGGAGAGGATCTCTAACCAGTGTGCTGAGTTTCCCACCCCTCACTATTATAAAGGAAGTTGCTTCTTTTATATTTAATCCTGGAATGAACTTTTAAATGTACTATTGCTTCCTGTAAAAAACATTAAGGATCCAAAAATGCTTGGGGGCGGGGGATAGTGGGAGAAGTTTACAGGCTTGTAACTTTACATGCAGGCAGACACCTCTGACTTTCTTTGGTTGTCTTATTGCCTGAAGACAGGGATAGTTTTGTGCTAAAAATAAACAACGTGCTAGAACTTAGTATGATTGTGTGTGCCTTCCAGCCTGTCACCTTGAGCCAGGCGGATTTATGTGATTGTTGAGTCCAGAGGTGGGGGATGGGCTAACAGATCGCCTTGGCAAACCGGCCCCTGGACTGTCCCTGAAGACATGTTCTTCTGTCCTAGAAAGAAGCTTCTAGGACGTTGCTGTCCAGCACCCAACCACAGCACAGTGGGAAGGGAAAGAATGCTGACTCGTTTTTTCCTTGGGCTTCTGAGATCTTTTGGCTGGTGAGACACTGTCTACAGGCTGAAACCAGTGGATCACAGGGAACTAAATCCACCACGGTCCTTCTCCCACCCCTGCAACTCCCCTTCCCCCTGAGGATGATTCTCTTTTCTGTGGCATGAAATCTCAGCTCATTTCAGCTTCAAGCAGATGCATCTCTGGCCTGGAGCGAACCCAGATTATACATTTAATGGAATGTCGTGTTTTCTCAACCAGGAGCAAAGACAGCATAATGATAACCTAGAACACCACAGTAACACAATAGGGCATTATTAGCAGCTTTGGCGACTGGGCTGCACAAGGCTTTCTACTGATGGAATTTCATGTTCATTTAAACATGCTTTTCTGGTTATAGTCAGGAAAGTAGAATGCTGGGAATTCAATCAGGGTTTTGAAAAGACAAATTTGGAAGGTCTCTGTCCAGAGAAAAGCAGTAAAGGAGCAGTTCACCTCTTTTAAGTCTTCCAGGGGACTTCAAAGATTAATGTTCCCCATTCGGCCAAGGTTTCCTCTCTCCCAGGGCCCTTATTTTATTATAGCATATATTTATATATCACATATTGGTCTGTTTTGTAGAGAGCTATTAGTCACTTAAATGGAGAAAGTGGATTTTCCATTTTGAGTCTCAAGGAAGGGCTGGCTTTGGGATATGTGCCCTAAAGACTTCAAAAATAGAACGTGGGGAAGACAGAAGGAGCATGGTGGAGGTAGTAGGTTGGAGAGTAAGACTAGGTGTTGAATAACCTTATATAGGACTTTTCAAAGCTAAAGCCTGCTATGTCTTTCCTGTACCCAATAAATCACTGTATGCAACAGGGCCCTCTGCACCTCATATACTCTGGCCCATGAGAACCCCTTGACTCCCCTTTACAGCTTCCTTTTGCACAATTTTCTCTCCTTTTCCCCATGTAAAGAGACCTCATCCTGTCACTCACCCAAACTTCCAACTGCAGCACCCACCATGGATGACGCCATGGTAGTGCTGTCCTGCAGGACCATTACTGTGTACAATATTCCACACACATAGTCATGAAGCTGATTTTCATAGCATTAGACTAAGAACCTCATTATCAGATATAGTATTATCTTTCTGGGGGGGGGTATACTTTCTTGGTTTC